TGGCTCAAGGAGTAGGGTGCTGGCCCCTTATACCAGAGGTGGCGGGTTCAAACCCAGTCCCAGCCATAAAAAAAGTAATAGGATTACAGATGTGAGCCACCATGGCCAGCCTGCCCAGGCTAGTCTTAAACCCCTAGCCTCAAGTGATCTTCTCTCACCTTGGCCTCCCAAAGTGCTGGGATTACAGCGGTGAGCTACTGTGCCTGGCCCAGATACTCTTGAGAACAATATGGGATATGGGATATAAATAAAATACCCTAGTTGTGAGAGAGAGGCTCCCTGGTCTTCGTCTTGATCCCTTCAAGGATGTATTCTGGACCAAGGAGATTTATCCAGTAATTTGAAACAAAATTAGACTTTCCTCATGTCTCCAGACCTCAGTCTACTGCCCACACAGTGATGCTCACTCAGGTTGCAAGGATGACAATGACCAACATTAGCACTATTCTGTACTCGAGATTTATATTTCAGACCTCTCAACTATTCTATATGGTACGTAGCAGTTTAATCACAAAGGAACTGAGCTTCAGAGAGCTTAACTGGCTTGCCTAAGGGTACTAAATGGCAGTTTCATGATCTGAACCCAGGTCTGGCTGGCTTTAAAGTTTGCACTCCTGCCTGTAGTACTCCAGGGAGCCAGCCAAAGTGAAACTCTCTTCATGGGACTCTGAATTAGTAGAAGAAAAAGTACTTGTTAAGCAAATGGAAAAAGATAGGGTGCACTAGTGAGAGTCCCAGCCTTTGTTCCTTCCCTTAGTGACCCACCCTGTTGTATCTAGAGGGGCTTTTTCAGCACTGGAAATTTGTCCAGCAGCGGATGTCTCTCTTCTCTCCCCAACACTGAGTGCTCTAGGAAGAAACCCAGGGTCACAGCAATTCCCTGGGGCCTTCCCACATCCCCAGCGTCCATGGGAACTCTCCTCCCAGTCTTTCACATGCACCCTCTGTGCTGCCTCTCCACGTCCCAACAGTGGCCTGAATTCCCAAGAGATGGATTGTATATGCCCTTTACTGGTCCAGGCCAGAGATGGGGGGATGAAAATGTCTAGGTTAGACAGCAGGAATTGGAGTCAACTCCAAGTTGTAGAACAGGGCCCAAGCTATGGAGAGTGACATTCTCTCTACTGAGATTATGCTGATACTCCCACAGCACTTCAGGACAAAACTGAAGAAATAATAATTGCTATGATTTACAGAGTACTTTCTATGGGCTAATTGCTTTATGTAAGTTAATCCTTACTTTGAGGTTGGTAATATCCCCATCTCACAGATGAAAAACTGAGGTTCCGTTTAATGTCCAAGCCAAGATTAGCAACAGAAAAAAGTCCATCATTCTAACCATTTCTAAAAACAAAATCTCACTGCTCTGAATTAATCTAGGATAAGTTATGTAAAATGGAAGGGAAGTCTTAAAATAGAGAAAATACAAACCAGGGTCAGGCACTGTGTCTCATGCCTATAATCCTAGCACTGCACTCTGGGAGGCTGAGGTGGGAGGACTGCCTGAGCTCAGGAGTTCAGAAACCATTCGGAGCAAATGCAAGACCCCTGTCTCTAACTAAAAATAAAAAAACTAGCCGGATGTTATGGTGGGTGCCCATGATCCCAGCTACTCCAAAGACTGAGGCAAGAGGAGCTCTTGAGCCCAAGAGTTTGAGGTTGCTGTGAGCTATGATGACACCACCACAGCATTCTACCCATGGCAATGAAATGAGACTGTCTCAAAAAAAAAA